TGGCCTGGCGGTATCTGCCAGTGAGGGGACAAAGTCGCGTGCAGCAACAGCGAGGCAGGAGAGGACACGCTGAGCTCAGGCCTTGCTTCTGCCCCGCCAGCCACTCACTGTCCTCTGTCCCTAGGGAGCAGGAAGTCACTCAGCCCCAGCTGCCAGTCTCTAACATTGCTTGTCATGGCGTGGTTAAGAAAAGCCCTGACACAAGCGCTGTGTTCCCAAAGGGCCAGGCGGGGAAGGAGGCTGGCTTGTCTCCCCGAGCTGCTTTTCACACCTCCCCATCTATTTCCTACTGGCCGTACATCCCAAACACCAGGAAGCTGAAGAAAACGGTCACCCCGATCAAGGAGACAGTGGCTGGCGCGGTGAAGAACTGCCGGTAGTTGATGCGGAAGTACCAGATGACGGCCAGCATCACCATGATCATGGGGATCATCATGTTCCCCATGTTGACGGTCACGCTGCTCGCTTCAGGGGGTGCCACGGTGGGGTCGGGCAGGGTGGCAGCAGCACTCTGGGAGAGGTGACAATGGATAACGCAGTTGTCTGTGATGTTGAGAGAGCGCAGCGTCCGTGCCTGGTCCTGCAGGAGTTGGCCGCGATAGATGAACTTCATCTGGCTCTCTTGGCCTGGGAAATATTTGCTTTTGAAGGCGAGAGAAAGAGAGAGAAAGAGAGAGAGAAGAGATTAGAAATGCTGGAGCCAGGACGCATTCATCCAGCTAAAGCAGGCTGCAATCAGAATGAAACCCAGCTGCAGCAGCGCTGCTACGTTTGCCTTCTGGCTCAAGCGGGTACTGCCCGGGCATCGGGTCTCAGCGGGCACAGGAAATCCCCGTCTCGGCACAACGGCCCGCTGCTTGCTCACAGAGGGCAACGCACTCGCTGAGACCTGCACTTGTCCCACCTAAGCAAGACATGAAAGCTGAGCGCAGGCTCCCTCAGCAGGACTCCCCTCGCTGCCTGGCCGTCCTTGGTCATGCTCGCCAAGTCTGTACAGCACCTGACACCGCTGGGTCCTGGTCTGATAGCGCGCCGTACAGGAGATAAAGCCTTCCCCGGAGCGCATGGGAACCAGTCGGACTCGGGAGGCTTTTTGTGCTGTTCCCGAGTTGAGATTATAAAAGACGCCTGGCAGCAGACCCAGGGCTTTGCAAACAGAGACGATGGAGTTGCCTTGCTGGCAGGGGACCAGGCAGGGACAGCGTGGCCAGCTGGGGACTGGGACACTGAGGGACAGCAACAGCACTGTCACCATGTGTCTCCTCATCTTTTAACCTAAGAACCTCCTGGTTTGGAGAAATGGAAGCCTGCAGCCCTCTTGGCAACATGACAGCGGTACTTCTGTAGCGAGAAGTAAGTGAAAACCCTCTGCAGTTTTAATGCCTTTATTTCCCTGATGATGCCTGCAGGATTGGTGAGGAATGGGTTGCTTTGCAAGCCACCGCAGCAGCTCTCAGGGACTGCGAGCTGAGACCATCGCCCCAGGTGGACAGCTCTGCATCAGGAGCCAGAAGACCTTGCTCACTCCTTGCTCTGTCCTCGGCCTCCGCACAGAGAGAACGAGGTTCTCGGCCACAGCACTGCGCGAGCCGGGCTGGAACAGTGCCCGCAGACCGTTCATACAAGGGGGGGCAAGAGCCCCAGCAGGAGCAGAGAGGAAGGGTTTGTAAGTAGGCATCTCCCCCTCGCAGCACTCCCTCGAGGCTGCGCATCACCCCTCGCGTGGGACTTACCTCTTGAGGACACCTATGGTGTCCTCAGGCCTCACCACGGCCACCTCCTCCGTGTCGTTGAGGAACTTGAGCCGGACCTTGATGAAGCCAGCGCACAGGTCGCTCTCCTCCGGGGCGGGCGGCCTGCGGCTGTCTCGAGCACTGGGCTCGTTGCCTGATGTCCTTTTGGGCAAGCTTCGGATGTCCAGCAGCCGGTCAAGGCTGGGGTTGGAGGGGCTGCTGCTGTCCCCCTGCTCCAGCGCCAGGCCCAAGTCGGAAGTGGCCCCCCCTTCCTCTTCTGCTTTTTCTTCTGTGGTTTCAGGGACCCTCGCGGGTTCGGGGGGCTCGGTCGCCCCCGCTGCGCCCACATACCGTTCCACGTGGCTGAGCCGTATCACAGTTGCGTCCCCTGTGGCCACGATAGTTCCCAAGAGCTGGTTGCTGCTGTCGGCAACGTATGTAGACAGCCACGCCAAAACCAGAGCCAGTGCCAGGACCACAATGCCAGCCACCACCGTCACCTCGTCCCCCACCCCTCTGATTATGGTTGCGTCGGGGGGCTCCATCTCCGGGCTTCTCGCAGGAGCTCTGCTGCAAAGCACGAGACAAAGAAAGGATTCAGCTACGGTCTCTCGGCCGGGTAGGAACTGGGGGAGGGCAGCACCAAAAGGACACAGGCAGGCAGGACAAGAGCAAAGACAGTTGCCTTGCTTCAACATTCACTCCTGTCCCCTCAGAGTAAACAAACCCAATGCAAACAAGCGGCTGGCTACCAAATCACATAGAGAGCAGGCTGACTAGACTGCACTTGTAACCAGTTGGGCCCCTATCGTAGGGGAAACAAGCTGGATGTCCTAACACTGCGGTTGTTTTTCTCCAAATGGCCGGGAGCGGGCTGGAGAAGCTGGGTTTCTCCCCCTCGGCCTGCCAGTTCCGGCTGGCTGCTTTCCTTCGGGCTGAACTCTGCCACAAAGCCCTTGCTCCGGGCGTAAAATGGCCGTGCTGCAGCAGCACAGACCTCTGGCCTACATCGTGGCCAAGCTTGGTTTTAGCAAGATGTGAATAAATCCTACAATTGCTTCAATTGCATGAGAAACTGGAGAGGAAGGTTTCTTTACTGCAGACATTTCTCTCTAGTCCTGAGGTAGCGGAGAAGAGACAGAAACGTACAAACCAGTGAAAGCTAAGCAATAAAACCAAAACCACCTGGAGCAAAAATTAAACATTAACCGGTTTTGCAAAGAGCACTCTGGTCACTGTGCTTGGCCTCACGCGGCCCCAGCGAGGAATGGCGAGGGGCCATCCCGAGAGGCCAGGGGAATGGCAGAACCAGCGCAGGGCAGCTTCGGAGCCAAGACACGGACCTGGAAGTCACCGCTTGGTTCCCGTTCCTGCGTGGCTGCACGCAGACTCTTGTCCCTCACCCACCAGCGTCGAGGAGGGTATTACAAGGCGAGGGAAAGGTCCGAGTCCTCTGGTTTTGTGAGAGGCGGCTAGCACACCAGAGCAGTGACACAGTGACGTTGGGACGGGGCAGCCCTGCAGAGGTGGGGAGCTCCGAGCTGGCAGGGAAGGGGACAGACCCTTCAAACACTCAGGACTTCTTCTGGAAGACAAAACTTACTGCTCAGGAATAATTACTTAGCTTTCACGCTGCGGAAGGAGATTGTATCTCTTCCCACGTGCCAATTAGGAGTACAACATCTGTAATTACAGCCTGAACTTGAATTCATCAGGAGAGGAACGGAGTCCCTGCGTAACCAGGTCACTGGGAGCACAGTTAGGGCCGCGGGACACGCAGGGACTGCGTTTACCTTGCTCAGGATCTGGCGGGGATGCCGGCAGGCTCCCTGGAGAAGCGAAGCTGCTCAGCGCCCTGCCATCGTCACCACGCCGTGCCCGGGCACCCGCTCTTCTCTGGAAGGAAACAAGGACCAGA